GCTTTTTTTTTTTTTTTTTTTTGCTAAATACCCAAATTCTCGCTGGTTAAGATGAAATTAAAGCAGCATTTAGCCTAAAAATATCTGGGCACATCTGTTCACCTTCCCCATCTGCTCCTGCCCGGGTGGATGAAGGAAGCAACTGTATGCGCAGAAGGAGGGGTCTGTCTCGTCCTTCTGTCCCGCTCAGGAGCTCAGGGCATCTCTGAAAAATCGGTTTACTCAGGGACTCATATTGCCCAAGACTCGATTTATTTGCTGGGTGACACCCGGGCCAAGAAGGGGCAGGAGGAGCAGATCTCCAGCCCCTGCATTCCTCTAAATAGCTCTTGCTTTTAAAGTGATTTCTTTTTTTTTTTTTTTGTAAACGAGTTTTTTTCTAACACGTTTTGTAATTCCTTTCACGTAATAAACCTCAAAATCTAAATCTTTTCCAGCTGTCCCTCCCAGCTGCTTCCTGGCTTCGTATGGGCTTGTAATAATCTATCGGCATTTAATGCCGCGTTCCTTAGCAAAAGGAAATGGGCTGATTGCAGGGATTGAAGTTACCACCAGCTCTAATTTCTCTAATGCGATTCTTTAAAGACGAGTGACTGTGGTAATGACAACGTCGGACCTTGAAAGGAAGGGCCGTGCCCAGCGGCCGGAGCAGGGATGGGACATCCCAGAGCCCTGGGACCAGCTCCGGATGCAAGTGGGGCCAACCTGCCCCTTGGAGAGGGCAGAGCCCCCCAGCCTGCTGCTCCCGGGGGGCTCGGGGACCCCCAGGACCTGCGAACCAGGCGAGGGTCGTATCGCCCTTTTATACGGGGGGAACCGAGCTGTGGATCAGGGTGGCGATAGAGGATTTGGGAACCGGACCTGGTGCATCCGATTTTTTGAGGCCGCTGCGTGGCACGGAGCAGGCAGGATGATCCCGGAGCTGGAGCCGCTCCAGCAGGGGCGTTAGTTCATCTCGGATCACCTGCCCCGTGAGTCATCGCTCCATCGGTGCTCTACATAATTTCCAACAACGTTTCATTTGACACACACACATCCACACACACACACACACACATCCCAAACGAACCCATAGGCAGAAGAATGACACCGGTGACCATTTATTTACTTTGCCTGGTCACCCAACGCACCGGAAACCTTGAACTTGGCCAGACCCAGCCCTTGCACGGGGCTGAGAATAGAAAACCGGTTCGAGAACTTTTCTTTCTTGGGCAGCTGTGGGATGGAGCGCGTGACCTTGGGGCTGAGCTGGGTGAAACAGCCTCTCCCCAGCTCTGCAGCGAGGGATGAGGTTCGCCCATCCCAAACCGCCCCACCAAGAAGGAGAGGGGAGGATTGTGCCCTCTCCGGGCTGGGGGGCTCCTGTCTGTCCATCCGTCCTACTGCTGTTCCTCTGCGGATGCTCGTGACGCTGGGGTTGACTTCCAACCTGTCCTAAAATGCCCAGCTGCATCCCAAAAGGTCATCCTCCCCCAAGCAGCCAGCCCTCCCCAAAAGAGCCGGAGAGATTGCCCATGGGTCGGGTGGGGACTGGGAAATGGGGTGCCCCTGGGCTGGGCCACCCTGAGCGTCTGCAGCCCAGCCTCCCCACCCTGACAGCCAGGCTAATCTCCGTTACACAGATGGAAAAGGGAGATTAAATTAGATTAGATGTAGCCGCCTAATTTTAGCTTCCTCACGTGTCACAGGTGCCCTGCTGTGGCTCCTACCTTGCTCTCCACAAGCCCTTCGCTCCCCTCAAGGCCACGGGGCCACCAGCCAGGACAGGTTGGAAATCAAATGGGGTTTGGCCAGAAAGTAGTACCCAGCAGCTGGTACGAGCATGTGATGGTCAAGTGGGCACTGGAGGTCACTGGACTCCAAGAGGGGACTGGTGGTGATGGCCACCCTCAGCTGCTGATGGTCTCCCTCAACCTTGGGAGCATCTCCATCCCTGCACAGATTCCCCTGTCCGGGAGGATTCTCACAGTGGGATTCTCAAACCGGGCCGGTCCAGTTTGCCCCATCCACACCAAGGTTCTGCCACTGCCTGTCCCTCTGCCTCCTGCTGAATTACTGCAACGTGAGGTTGACATTTGCTTCCTGCTGCCTGCCATGACCCCTCTTGTCGCGGTGCCAGCCCTAAGCCCTTGCCTTGTCCAGCTGCCAAGGATCCTGCCAGCTCTGTCAAACATTTCCTGATCCAAGGGGACACTGGATCCCCCATGGGACTGGCCCAGAGTGCCCCAGGATCGGCCCTGCAATGCAACAGGGAGAGGAGACATCTGAACCCTTTGCCTTTCCGTGAGCTGCAGCATCCCCGCAGTCTCAGCGAGGTCCCCAAGCCCCAGCGGGGATGTCAGAGCTGGCAGGAGCCCAGGGTGCATGGTGTCCCCAAAAGCTGGCATGGCCAAGCTTAGGGACAGCTGGGGGGTCCCAGGGCTGGCAAGGGCTGTGCTGGGCACTGGGCAAGCCGGGCACATCTTTGAGGTCAAAAGCCCCAGCCAGGACACGGGACCTTGAGTCACACTGCTCCGGGATGAATAACGCCTGCATGTGGCACTTTCTCAATCGCAGCGGAAAGAGGTTTCTCCAGCATCCCCCAGGCGCTTCCCTGGCACTGGCAGAGCTGGGTCACCGCCACGTCCCACGGCGTGGGGCAATCGCACGTCCCCGGTGCCACCGAACTGGGGCTGGGGCACGAGCGGGGCAAGCAGCAGCAGGCAGGAGGATGCTGGGTGCCAAGGGCTTTTCCCTCGCCTCCTCACGGCATCCCCTGTGCTTTCCCCCAGAGCTCTGGGTGTGAGCAGCCCGGGGGGATTTGCATCCCACGCTAAACGTGTGGATGTCGTTTCTGTTTCTGATCCAAGGAGTTTGGATGCTCAAAGGATCCCCTGGTTGTTGACCTGCCATCACCCCAAGATGCCCCTGTGCCACGGCCGAGTCCAGCCCAGGCTCCGTGCAGCCGGCAGAAGCTGGGAGCAGGTGGGAAGTCTCTGGCTGCACCGGGATACCGGAGGAAAGGGTCATGGGGCGGCAGCCTGGCAGCAGCCAGAGGTGAAGCAGGGAGTTGCGGGCTCAGGGGGAGCCCAGGGGCTGAGCTGGGGTCAAATCCCAAACACAGACCACACCCAGAACGTCAGCTTGGTTCTCTTCCTGCAAAATCCTTCCCACCCAGCACTGTTGAAGGAAACAAGCCAAAACTCAGCGACAAGGAAGACCCCGGTGCACGGCCACAGCAGGATCCCACCTTCAGCCCAGGCGGGAGAACCATCGCGCGGGCAGGGACCAGCGTCGGCGGCACCGCGGCAGAGCCACGTGCGGGTGGGTGCACCTCCCGCCCCATGCCCGGAGTGGGGGCGAGGTGCTGGCAGAGCCACCGAGGGAGCGAGGAGCTGGGCAGCCTCTTCAAAACCGGAGCACGAGGCGGGACCCCCAGCCCCAGCCGAGGGGCTCGCGCTCTCACAGCCTTTCCCGCTGCTCGGGTGAAATGGGGAGAGGTTGGAAATGAAAAACACTGCCTTTTTTTTTTAGCGCATTTTCCAGTGAAGATGATTTTGAAACAGCAAACAGCTGCTGAGCCACGGGGGAAAAGCTGCTTCTTCCCGGAAAGATTCCTAAATGCTGTTGGTGGAGAAACTGCCAGGCAGCTCCATGCCAAGTGCAGACGCTCAGCGTCCTGCCAGGGAAATGCTGCTGCTCCCTTGGCTCCCTCGGCTACTTCTGGGGTGAGAAAAGGGATCCCTAAGCCCATCCCACAGCCTGGCCCGCTCTCCCCAGGGTGCAGGAGCAGAGCTGGGCTCTCCCTAGACCCTTGTCCACCCACAAGCAGCATCTTACATCTCCCCCTGCAGGGAGGACCACATCTCAAAGCCCCCGCTCACATACTTTTCCTTCAGTTCACACCGCCAGGCAGAAACGTTTACATCCTGTCTTGCTTTGACATCACCCCGGCTGGCTTAGGGCCAGAGGTTTGGGAAACAGCTCTCCTACACCCTTCCATGAATTATTTTCAGCAGCACCCATCCCATGATCCACAGTTACTCCCCTTTCGATGAGTGGCAGCTGGGTGAATTGGCCTTGCATCACCAGGGCTGTCACCTCTCCTTAGCCAGTTACAAAGAGCAAAAAAGCCCCAAAATCCCAAATCCAGGGAGAAAATCCCCTTACCTGGGCGAAGCCCTTGCCGTCCATCCCGTCCGCCGCATGCTCAGACGTCATCCTTGGAGTATCCGAGAACGGTTTGCTGGGACTGGGACCTTGAGCCCCGCAGCGAGCTGGGACTGGGAGAGCTTTATCATCTCTGGTCCCTGCGGAGGAAGGTCCTGCACGTCAGCCCTGAAGTCATTGGCTGGGCACTGCGGAGATAAATACGGGATTTTAGCGGCGCTGGTGTAATCCTGGAGCCGTGGGATGAGCCCGACGGAGCTGCCGGGGATGTGGTGCTTTGCGCGTGGTGCTGGGGGGTTTGGGCTCCTCCTGTCGCGCACCGCACGGCATCACCCTCACTGACACCCCCCGCAGCATGTCCCTCCGTGCCGTACCCCTTTGCGTGGCAATAAATCACGGAGCAGCCCATGGGCGCCCCCCGTGATGCCCCATCCCTGCGGAGGGGCGGCTCGCCCAATTTCTGTGTGGTTTTACTGGTGAAGCCTCTCTTCTTTCTCCTGGGGAGGGAAAAATAAAACGGTGGAAATTAATGCTGGGGTGGGATGGATGTGTTTGTGCGGGGGGGTTGCAGGGGCTGGAAGCTCCAAGCTGTGCTGGGTCTGCGTGGCCTCAATCCTGGCGGCACCCCTGGGGACCAGGGATCTTGCATGTGCACATGCACGTGTTGCGTGTGTGTGCGTGCGCGCACGCGGGGCAGGGACATGCGGCTCTTACCCAGCCAAGTGCTTTAATCGGGATCTGTGGGCATCTGGCACAATGGCTCCTCCACTGCAGAGCTCTGGGGGCCCGGAAGAACCCCAAAAACTCAGATGGGGGGGAAAGGCGGGGGGGCGAGCTGCTGCAGTGGCCTGGCAGCCTCCCCGCTGGCCCTGTGGCTCCGTCCCTACGTGACCGCAGGCATGCTAGTCCCCTCTCCCCACTGCAGGAGAGGAACTGCCAAAGAGGTTTAGGTTTGATGCAATTATTAATTCTATCAAATGGAGATTATCCGGCTTGGAGGGCTGGGCAGCACCAGCAGCCAGCACCAGCGTGGTTATCCGGGATGGGCAAAGCAGGAATTGCTGTCGGGGAGGAGGGGGTGAGATGCAGCCCCAGGTTTCCCTGTCGCAGGCAGCTGGGCTGGGCTGGGGGCTCGAGAGAAGGGGCAAGACTCATTCCTGGGGGAAGCAGCCTCCCCACCTGGGCTCAGACACCGCCTGGATACGCTGAAGGTTAAACCCAGCCCTAAATCTTAGTCCAGCCTCTAAACTCAGCACCTCTGCCAGGTGGTACAGTCAGGGAGAAAGAGGCAGAGCTGAGTCCCATCCCTGTCCCATCCCCATCCCCATCCTGGTCCCTGTCCCAGTCCCATCCTTGCCTTCACCCCCATCTCCATCCTCACCCCGGTTCCTGTCCCTATCCTGTCCCCATCCCATCCCCATGGCACGCGGTGACAGTGACAGCCCAGGACCACTGGGACGGCTGCCGTGGGCCAGTGGCAGCCACGACCCCGACCCCACGGCGCTCACAGCCGTGCCAGAGCCGCTCCCCCCAGCAGCCACCTGCCTCGTGCCGGGGGGGCGGTTTGGCAACGCCTTCAGCTGACGGAAACTTCTTTTATCACCAAAAATTCCTCTGCGCTTGGACGGGGAAAACTCTGCCTGCTCCAGGCTGGGATCCTCCCTCCGCCGGCCGCCGGCTTTTATAAAAAGGCTTCTTCAAGCCGGGAAGGACAGAGCCGCCTTTGTTCCGTCCCCGCTCCTATTGCTGCCGGCGTGGAGGAAACATCTCGGAGCCCTTGGCGCCGGCGGCTTTACATCCACCTCCTGGCACGTCCACTCTGGGAATCTCCAGGAAAGGGAAAATCAAATGATCTGCGAGCGCTGGGCGATGGAGGATGTGCCAGGGAGCGAGTGGGGCTGGGGGATCGGGGGCATTGCTGGGCGTCCCAGCAGCTATGTGTTCCCCCTCTGCCAGCTCCAGCAGGGCTTTAATTATTATTTTTGTTTAAACAAGTCGGGATCGTTTCATCTCCTGCTGTAATAAAGGGTCGGGTCCATGGGAGCCAGGCGATGCTGAGCCGTTCCCTCCCCGCTCGTGTCATCCGGGCCAAAATCCCCGTCACGGCGGGCGCCAGGCCTGGCCTGTAAACCCTGTTATTGTCCCTCCCGCCTCTTGTATAATTAATTCAGCACATGGCGGGGGTGAGATCTGCCCTTTCCCAGCATGGGACACCCACCCCACCCCGGGGGCCATCCCCACCTCCCCAGCATGGTGGCACCCCCCGCTTTTCATTAAACCTCCTGATAAGGAGGCGGTGGAGGAGCGGGGCCGGGCAGGACGGCGATGCCCCCCGGCCCCCCGGGCACCGCGCTGGGAACCTGCCTGCCCACAACTCCCACAGCGTCAACGCCACGGCTGGGTGCGAACGCAGCCTCCGGACTTCCCCTTGCAAACACACCTTCAAATTTCTGGGCTGAACAGCCAGGCAAGGCGGGAAACTTTGGCCAAGACGGAGCTCTCTGCCTCCTGCCGGGGCGGGGTGATATTTTGCTAAGATCAGGCATTCGGGGGACGCAGACACCGAGACCACCGGCAGCATCGGTGGCAGCAGGAGAGATGATTTTATGGCTTTAAGGGCAGGACAAAAGCTTTTAAGGAGGCCACCGGCCCTATGGCAACCCACGCTCCACCACTTCGCCCACCGATGGCTGCGAGCCCCCTCCTCAGGGGCACCCACTGGAAGTGGGATGGGTGGTCCCGACACCAAGCCGGGCTTAACCCCCAAGCAAGCCCAGGGACTAGGATCTACCAATTCAACGGCACCCTGGTGAGGAATCCCGGCTGCAAACGACACCAGGAATTCCTGGGTGCATCTGCCCTGGGAGAGCAGGTGTCTCAGGACACGTTTGACAGCAAGAGGAGGAGGAAGGAGAGTGGAAACGCCAGCTGCAGCTCCCGCACCCTTTGCCATGGCCGGAGGTGATGCCGCAACTCGCTAAAGCACCTCAAAGCGTTTTATTAAGGCGCTCCGCACCCAGGACTCGGGCAGCAGCCCATGGTGAGCGCTCACGGGCAGCACGGAGTTGGCACAAAGCCGGCAGCTCCAGCAGGGCCCGGCCACTTCTGAGACGTTTGAGGCCGTGCCAAGAAAGTTTGGGCTTAATCTCATGTCAACAGCTGCCCCGTGCCAGGATCCGGCCACGCCACAGCCCTGGCACCAACCCTCTTTCCTGACCTTCCCAGCAGCGACCCCACTGCAGTAATTAGAAACCACTGGGTAATTTTTTCAGTCCTACGATAATGTCAGATCCTGCCGGAGCATCGGCGTTGCCCACGGGGGGGGACGGGGAAAAGCTGATGGGATGGAGCTGCCCAGCTTTGGGGAGCCACCGGTGCCGGAGCTTTGGGACCCAAGCCCGGCTCTTGTTCCGGCCACACTCCAAGCGGAGAAAATCAAAGGGATAAGTGGGCACGTTTGAGCCTGAAGGGTTGGAAAACAGCCTCGGCCTGAAGCGTTCCCAACGGGCAAACCACCCCCCGGCTGCCAGGCTGCTGTTTTCCCGGAATTCAGCCCTGGACGCTTCCCAAGCTCCCATCCCTGCCAGGAGCTGCACGAGGATGCTTGGCTAGAGCAAAGCTGTGTGTGACCCTGGGGAGGGGGGAAACCGGGGTGAATCCCCCGAAACTCAGAAAACCTGAGGGTGCCCCAAGCCTGGGTTGGGGCGATTCGTGGCATTATCCGAAGCTGCCTTTCCCCCTCCAGCCTTTCACTGCTGCTTTCTTTATCTGGGAAATTCCACACCTGTCAGCTTGAATTATATATTTTTTTTAAGGGTTGGACTAGGTGATCTTCAAGGTCTTTTCCAACCTAGATGATTCTGTGATTCTCCAGCTCTGCGCGGCCGGTGCTGTTTTCAGGGGGTTGTGTCCGCTCGCCCGCGTTGTGCATCAGGCCAGCAGAAGCAGAAAATGGGGGGGAAAAAAAAAAAAACAAAAGAACTGCTGCCTGGCTTTGCAGCATTCTCACCTGCTGCAGACGCTTCCCTGCTCTTGATGTGAGCAGGGACTGGTAAGTCTGAGCCCCAGTAACCCCGACCCCTAATGACTGTGACCCCTGAGAACCGTGGTCCCTGGTGACTGATCCCTAAAAAACATGACCCCTAAAAACTGTGACCCCCAATAACCCCGACCCTTAGTAATTTTGCCCCCGGCTCTGCTCACTTCCCAGCAGAGCAAATCCCATCCGCACCAGTAACCCCCAAGCCCCTCCGTCACCCACCCTGGCAGTGCCTCCCCCCACTTCCCTTTTTCCCCTCAATTTTTAATCCAAAATCATTCAAACCAGGAGAATTTCCCGGGAGCAAACCCCAGCGGCTGGGAGGCAGGAGCCCTAATTCCCACCTTCGCATAAAAGTGAGAGGGCACGCACAGACCTTTTTTTGGGGTTGGCTTTAAACCCACCTGCCCTCGGATTAATTTGTAAGGTCTGTCCCCCCT